CAATGATGCTCAACCACTAAAACTGTTATTAATCAGGCAATTCAAGTAAGATTCCTGGTGCTTTGAGGAAAGGATTACAGGAAACATTTTGAGAAGACTTTAGAACCAATGAGTACAAGTTGATCAAAGGGAGTAGAAGAGTACATTTGGGAAGAAACCAATGACTTAACTGAACAGTGAAATTAATTACATTCTAAACTCACTCCAAATGTGTAAATTGCCAAAATAAAAAGGGTCTGAAAACTAATGGAAATGAAACCACTGCTTTAAACATGTAGCAGCTGAGGTACAGCATGCCACTTGTTGATCCAAAACAAAAATATATATACCTACATAGTATATTTTCTATATGTCAGTTTATCCTCTGAATAGTTTTCTTTTCTCCACATTTCACTGATTTGCCGTCTTACAAAACATGTGAGATGGAAGGAAAAGTAAAGCACCAAGGAAATTCTCATGCACGCTCGCTGTAATACCTGTCCAGTCATTGAGTAAATTTGTACTAGATAACGTTATAAAATGTATGAATGAAAAGGAATGGAAATAACTCCAGCAGCTTTAGAATTAAAACCCTGGTTGAAAGAGAAAAGAGGTAGTGAAGCACTTGGAAAACCTGCGATTGTCTCCTCTTGGAATTTCAAAGAAAACTAGAGGCATCCCAAATGTTGCATTCCTCTTCCTCTCACTTTTCTCCACCCGTTTCCCCCAGTCCTGACAACACAGTCATGGAAGACCCACAACCCTCAGATTTGAAATGAGGGACAGGAGTTCAGGAGCACCCCTGATCTCACACCTCTTGCATTGGTCCCCTCCCCGTTTCTCCTTTTCCTCCTCCAGATCTCCTTCTCTCTCCATCCCTCTGAGACTGAAGTGCATGATGAAGCTTACAGATGGAGCACTAGCGCTTTGCTTTTGTGTCTTCTCCTTCTTTGTCTGATTTAAGAAAAAAAAAAAAGGAGTTAGACAAAAAAAACTGTGTCAAGAATTCATTTGTTGATTTTTCAGAAACAATCACATTGCGGTAACAAGATTCTTTACTGAACTGCAGGAAACTGTTCAAAGCAGTTACAGAATAAAGTACCAAGTGAAATAATCAGAGGTGATGCGAGTGCTCGCTGTTGTTTGCACTTTTAGTACTTTGAATTTAAAAGAATTCAAATAAGCAACATTACCACCTCTTATATGCAATGTTTTATGTTTACAGAATGGGTCAGAGTTCATTGTCGTGTTTTCTCACCTTTTTTGATTTCGTCTCTCTTCTTGGCAGCATCCTCCCTCTGTTTCTTGATGATGGCCAGTCTGGCGAGGTCAGCCCTGGCCTGCTCAGTCTTCCCCTCAAGATGGAGTTTCATGTAGCGCTCCTTTGATTTCTGCTTCTCTATCTCCTCCCTGAAAGAAGAGAGGATAATTCATGTGAGATAAATTAACAACTTATTCTTGTACAAAATAAGAACCTGCTGCTAAAAACCAGGGTAAGAGACAGTTAATAATTTCAGGAACAAAAAATATCAAATATATGCTTTTTGAGTGACTGTGTGACACTTACCTCTCTCTGCGACTCAGTTCTCTGGGAGCAGCGACGTCTATTTCAGTCACCTTCTTGCTCTTCTGGGAAACACGGTTTGGATTTTCAATCACTATAAGCCCTTCCACTCCACTCCTCTTCCTGGACTGTGTACGGAAAAAAACATCAGTGAAAGAGGAGGACGAGTCAAAAAATCACAGAGGAGCTCATAGATCAAAGATTAATTAAACACTTAAGATTAATTCAACACTACACGAACAAATCTTCATTTTCCTGCCTCACAATAAATTAGCGACCAATTTACCAAATATTAAACAAACCACGGTCATTAATTTAACCTTGTCATCACTCACCTCAGTCTCTTCATCGCTGCTGCTCTCCTCCTCAGACTCTGAAGAGCTCTTTTTTTCTGCACCACCACTTTCTTCCTGTTTAACACATAAACGCTGCTTTCAGATGTGCACTGAACTCAAGATAATCTCCTTCAATCATAAGGCACATAAAAGAGTCGGTCGTGGGGATATTCTTCACAGTTTCTCCTGCCAGCCCCATAGTAGAAAAACAAAGATGTCAACTTAGATTGACAAGATTTGAGAGCTTTTGGTGATACAGGCTGATGTGACATGTGATCTCTGCAGCTGAATTTCTGTTATGTCCATGCTGCATCAGTTGAACACTTTAATAAAACATTATTCGGTTGTTGTGAAGGCTTCTTAGCGGAGAATCTCCTACTGCGTTGTCCATATGTGAAAGGCAAAGGATGGATCCTATTGAGCCGACGTTCTCCTGAATTCACGTCTGAAAATGGATTCGGTCACACCTGATCGGACTTGGCTGTAAATACATGTCTCTGACTCACCAACTCCTTCTGCGCTTTCATCTGTCGGTCGATCTCCTCGGGGTTGCTGAACTGCTTTCCCCGGCCCTTGTGGTTCTTTTTCCCTGCGACACAGTCGTCACCGTTGTTAATGGACAATAGATCATTTGAGATCATATAACAAACAAACAAATAACATACAAGTTTGCTCAATTATTTTCAGGGCAGCTGGGTGTGCGTTTGTGTTCATGCTTCATCACAATCGGCAGACACACAAAAAAAAAACGCAGACACAAAAATTCTAAAAATGAATCAATACAGTCGCCCTTGAGTAACTCCTAGCTTCATTTATGTTTAGATTCAATGCTACATGGTGACACAGAGGGAGTGAGGAACAGGCACAGTTCACGTCGGTGCAATAACAGCTCAACACGCAAGATCTCACGATATTACGCAGAGACTGTGGTGGGAGATGAGTCACACTTGACGTTCACTGAGGGCCGGCAAATGTAATGTTATGGCTACTGAGCGTTCGATAAAGACGTGGAGCTGAACAGCGCCCCATGACTTTATCATCAAGTGTTTGAACTGCATCTGCTAACAGTGACCAACGCTGGAAACCTGGAGATGTGTATTTCATTACTGTGCTCTTTAAAGGGAGCCGAGGCGCTGTGCACATGGTACTGGCGGCTAAACACAACTAGCTGAACACCCAGACCTCACTAACGGTTATCTGGGTTTAAATTACACACGGGCTAGTAGCTGCGTTCGCGTTCACGCGTTCGAGACACAAAGTGACAACTGGTACGTTTGTCTCGTCTTCTCCGAGGCGACCCGTGAAACGCGCTGCTAACCGGCTAGCATGCTACAAGCTAAGCATGAGAGGGTTCAACATACTGCCTCGGCTAACAGCTCGCTAGCTACAGTTAGCTAGCTACAAAATGAGCACGCTTCATCCCACGGAACATCGGCACTCACCCCCTCGAGGCATTGTGGACAGTGATGTTTGTACGGACAGACTCGGCTGCTGCGTCGCTGGAGAAGCGGGAGTTTAAAGAGCCGGAAGAAAAGGTTGGAAACTCTCCCGCTGCCGCAACACACACGTCAAGTGAGGACCCACCGTGACGTCATCCGCTGTCTTCTTCTTGACCGGCTAAACGCGTCGACGGCGCATCGCTGCCCCCCTCAGGGCGATCACCGCCACTGCATCAGCTCATAAAACTGAAACAGCTTGAAGCAATGAAGGAACTCTCTGAGTTCTAAACCGAGTGAGGTCAACACACTGGAGACAGTTTCTTCTATCCCCACTTATTATCTGTATAAGATACTATTATTACAGTATAGTATTCTATAGTAATAGTACTTTACACACTGCAGGAGGACATGTTTTATGGTCTCAGTCCTTCATCAGGGCCAGTCCACAGTGGCCTAACCGCATCCTTATTAGTGGAACTGTTCTTCCAAGAAGTTATAGCCATCCTATAAACCAATGGCTGCATACCATAGTAAGACCTCCCATCTTTCCTCCATCCAATGCTTTTTGCCAAGTTTTTGGAAATTCCAGATTTGATCATAAAATTATTTTTTCACTGTGTGAGATAAATTTCCAGTGTGTTGTTGCCTTCACCTCTATAGCAACATGTGCAGGCACCCTCATGACTCCCACACAGCACCCTGCTTTATAAATACTGTACACTTTCATCATCCTTACTATAAACAGTTTTAGGTCATTTTGGTCTTGGACGTCCATCTACCAAAGGTCCCACATAATTGCCAGAATTAATCCTGGGATAGATTATTGATAATATTACTACTAATAATAATAACATTATTCATATTAAACCTTTTAAAATGGCCATTATGAAATGTCACACGTAAAGGACAAATAAAAACAGGCCCAAGAAGGATCCACCATTGGATTCTTGGTTGCTCAGGAATGGAAGGATATATTTATTGGCTGCTTTTACAGTAGCCTTTTAAATGGGACAGTCAGGTCCTGCAGCTGTGATGCAATTGGTCTTTAAATGCCGTCCCAGAACTAAGACACAGCTGGTCTGTGTTTGTAAGTGAAGGCATAAGATGAATTGACTGTACATGGTGCTACTTAGGGTCCCACTATAAAACTGTGTTATTGTTATTAGTATTATGATACATTAAAATTCCCATCTACTTACACAAGGAGGTAGGGAAATATTAAATTCCAGGGTGTAAATCATCACTACTTTTTTTATTAATTAAATTTAAAACAAAAGATTAATAGATAATAATTGTCATAATCAGAGTGTGACATCACCCGTGACATTACCAGCTTCATGAACTGTAAAAAGGCATGCAGAAAACCCAAGTCACCTGATGAGTCTGGACGGCAGGTGACACTTTACTTTTGAGAAATATTTAACAGATTCCAAGGGCTATTGATTAAGTACAAATATTATTTTTTTTAAAGCATCTTGTTTGCAGCTTAACTTGTAAAAATGTGAATTTCTAGCTATTCACGACTGCCATCTTGTGGCAATAAATGAAACAAGTAAATAGAATCAGAAAATGAAACCTTGATACATCCGGAAAAGAAGAGAATGAGGATGGCAGCACATCGACCATTAACTTTAAATAATTAAATGGCAGATATATTTTCTAATAATGCACAGTATCTTTCGATTTGTGTTCACAGGGACATGTTTAATAAGAACTAGAAAGTGCATTTCCTGATGAAAATGCAGTGTGATTAACAGTCATTTCTTCCTTCGATGTTGTGTTTTTACATCTTCCACCTCTTTCTCCATCAGATGGTACTCTACAGTCGTCTCTGTCAACTAGAAGGGAAAGATTAGACACCAATTATTAAATAGCTTTAGTAAGACATTAAGCATTGTCATGGAGCCAAAGGGTGATAATATATATCAGCCCAGTCACAAATGATAAACACCAGTTTATTTCAGGTCACTGCGTCATGAGTCAACTCTCACCATGTCCAGGAGGATTTCAATCTTTAGTTTTAGGAGGTTGTTCTCCTCCTCCAGTTGGACATTTCTTTTCTTGAGCTTCTGTACTTCCCTGCCAGATGTATTCTCACCAGATTCTGTTTAAATAAATGAAAAAGTGTAATACAACACTGGTTTATCAGAAACAGACAATGAATCTGCATAAGTCCGTATTGAGGTCATCAAAGCTATTACCTGTTATCCACTGTCCCTCTTCAAATTTCCAGCTCTGGCCTCCGATGTTCATCACAGGAGGTCCATACTCAAGGCCCAGCTCGACTTCTCTTGTTGACCTATCCAACTAAAAGAGATGAGCAAGAAACCACAGTTCAGTTACCTGCTTGTGCACCTACATGACAAACACAATGTAAAACTACTATTGTATAATCATCATCTCAGATGTCTCGAAAATTCAACCAATTATCTCTCTCTCTCTCTCTCTCTCTCTCTCATACCCTGAGTCATCAGTGTAGATCTATTAACGAGCTTTAAGGATGTGATCTCCATTTGTACTTACTCATTAAAACAGTATCTGTTTAAAAGAGAACACAGGTTCTCTGGACTCACCGTATGAAGGCTGGACAAGGAAGCAGATCTGCGGGGAGGTGTTTTCTTCGGACTGAACGTGTTCCCAAAGAGCGGCATCTTTAGTGATTTTTTGAGGTTCTGCATAAGAGATGGTTCATTAATTGTAGAATTGGTATTTTTGGACAATACAACAGAGTATTAAGGCCATATTACAGAAAAGAAATTAAGATTTTGAGAATTAAATCATTCTATTAGAGAAATGAGCTCATAGTTGAGAAGAGAGTCATAATATTACAAGAATAATTTCACAATTGAATAAAGTTTTATAATATTACGAGAATAGAGGCAATATAATGAGTAAAAAGTCATAATGTTACGAGATAAAATTTAACAAGAGAAAAGTTATAATATTACGAGACCACTACCAAATATTTACTCCTCACAAAGAGGCAATTTCTTCAAGCCTGTGGTTCTTTATTCAGAATGGATACAGTTTCTTGATAAATCATTTCTAAGTACTTAAACTTATGATGATGAAAAGATGAAGTATTTGGTTATTTATGAAATCTATACTAAAGTATAATTCAACAACAATCATTTCTAAGTACTGACACTTATGATGGTGAAAGATGAAGTATTTGGTTATTAATGAAACATATACTAAAGCATAATTTAACATGCTCCACAATCCTTATTTCACAGGCTGATCTTCTGACCTTCCTGCTCTAAATGACATGTACATGACATACTATTACAACTACATCTCGCAACACTTTGACTTTAGTCTCACACACTTATGACGCTTTCTCGTAAAATCACGTCTTTAATCTAGAAGACTGGTATCTTTTATTTGAAATGGCCTTGATCCTCCGTCGTAAGACAACAACCCCACACAGCCACAGTACATGCTTATCGCTACTACACCGCTAATCTAATGCTAGGTGGCTAACCGCCGCTAGCTGGGAGTTCTCTTCATACCTGACACTTAAGTGAACCTGTCGGCTGCCTCACAGAGGGTTAGTAGCTGCTGTGTCACTGAGAGAATGCAGTTAATATATTTACCTCCATACAGACTATTAGTTTAAACTCTTAACGTGGCGACACGGACTCACGAGCAGACAAACAAAACCACGCTGCCTACTGCGCAGGCGCGACCGACCCATCGCTGTAAAACAGACCCGTATCTGAAATGTTGAATGACTTCTTTACAAATCTATTGTATGTAGCTGTGCAGGGATACAAATCAATACGTGTTATCATTCTGCTAAGCGTTTTTATCATCTGTTTACAGCGTTTACATGTACGTGTCTGTGGTAAGAGTAAGCAAGACTAACACAAAAACCCCTATTGAGGGGAGAGAATGGTATAATCCATAAAACGTATCACCATGGTGATGGCTTCATTCTTTTTCTTTATCATTTTAATCTTCAATTTTTCACACATTTTTTTCTCCGTATTAAATAATCACTTTGTTTATAAATCCAGGTTTTAACACAGATCTGGACTATAACGTTTAATTGATTTAAATAAGAATAATCAGGACCCATTGATATATTCGGTGCTGACCGAAGGCAGCGTCACCTAGCCCCAGTGGCCTAATGGATAAGGCACTGGCCTCCTAAGCCAGGGATTGTGGGTTCGAGTCCCATCTGGGGTGAATCTCTTTATGCCACCACGTAGCATCAATTGATTTTTAAATCAATTAAACGTTATAACGGGATTTATCACATCTACATAACATCTTGCAGCGTCCTGAAAAATCAGTGTTTCCACGGCTGCTGAGGAATCGAACTTCATCACCATCACTCCACACTGAAGTGATCACAGCAGCATTCTCTCACTGAAGTACATGGACGGTGGAGGATCGCAGGGAAGAGATCAGCCGACATGGAGAGAGTGCGCGTGCTGCTGATCACCCTGGCTGCATCAGTGCAAACCCACCGTGAGTAACACTTTTCCTGCAGAGTGATTGCTGAGTTGTTGAATGGAGCTGAACAAATGTGTGATGGCAAAAAAAGAAGATAAAGAGAGATGTGATGATGTGATAATGTAAGGATGAACAGTTTTTGAAGGGGTGAACTCCTCTTTCTATTCATTTCGAGCAAGAGAACGAAAGTGCAGAAAAAGGTGATTATTTAAAAAAGAATGAATATTTTTTTTTAAAAGAAAGTAGAAAAGCAGCTGAGATTTAGATGTTTAAATTGTTGAAATTTGCAGGTAATGCAATTTATCATTATCTTTCTTTCTTTTGTTCATTTTTCAGTTTCCATTCAAACATCAGCTCATTCAGGACATTTATTCCGTCGTACTCTGGTTTTCTTGCTCCTTCACACTGCAGTTTTCAGCTGGAACTTCAATATCTAGTTACAGATATTTAAATTCCATTGTGTAAATCATCACTACTTCAGTTTGTCAGAATCAGAGCTCTAAAGTCAGCCGTTATGTCACCAATCCTCAGGACCTGTAAACTGGAACCTGAGAGGCCCTGAGTTTTTATTGAGAAGTTCAGGAATGTGATCAGATGCTTTATCTTTTAATCATTTATCTTTTAACCTATGTCATTGTAACATCATACAATTTCATTTTACAAAACCCTCAAACAATTTCATAGTTGTGCAACACCTTTGAAATATCATTTACTCTGATATTCTTAAAACAAAAAGGTTTATTGTTCTTTATTATGCGTTATGGCTGAGGGAACCTGGGTACTTGACCACTTTACCAGTGCAGTAATCTGTCATTGTGTACCTCATAAGGTTTTGTGTATGTTTACTATGGATGAATGGATATGAGGTGCAAACATTGCATTACCTACTTTTTTTTAGCTTCAAACAATAAGTCATAATGTGTCAAAACAACTACTGTGCACTCATCAATGTGAACCCATGTGCCAATCCAAGGAGATTAAAATGTATTCGTCTTGTGACAGAGAGCAGCTAAGTAAAAACTGTTTTCCTGATGTTATTGGTGTCACAACATTATCTTACATAATGAGTGTTATCCAACCTCAGCCCTGTAACCTTGTCCCTATTCCTACAATGGTAGAGCTCAGAGAGGCCACCGTTAACTGGGATGCTGCCCAGAAAAGTGTGATCCTGAAGGAGGGGGCGATGGAGACAGATGGGGGAGCGTACGGATACTTCAATGATACTCTGCTCATCTCTGGATGGGGCATGTTGGAAATCCGGGCAGGTCATGGAGGAATCCCACAGGAAGACGAGACCACTTTCTTCCTGGCTGGTTACCTGGAGGGTTACCTCACTGCTGGGTGAACAAGGAATACTGGTTCATTGTCGATTGATAAAGTTTTAAAAAGTCACCCACACCTCAAATTCAAGTTCAATTTGGTACTTTTGGTCTCAAAGAGAGATTTGCCTGTGTTGGTAATCGGTTACTGCCCAAAATCATGAATATAGTGTAATATAAATTTTTATTTTCAGACAGATTTCCCCATCACAGGGTACTAGAAAACATTTTATCTAACATGAATGATGAGTTTGTTTTTTGAACTATTTAAGTACAACATTGTTTTGCATTATTTTCCTTTTCTTGGATGGGAAGCTCAAATGCCGTCATCAACGGAATAATGTCGTATTGTTGTGTTCCACATTTATAAGTCATATAAACACAGAGAATCTAAGAAACTATTATCATTTCACTGCTTCCTAACTGATCAGCAACTGAAAATACAATGGATTGTTATATTCTGGAGGGATAGTTGCTGCTTCAGTTTCAAGCTTCAATTTTAATTTGGATATGAACATTATACATTACTGGGTTGGGTTATTGCGTTTTTAAAACTAAAATCTTAACAAAGTAGCTCGTAATTTGGAAAATCTTTTTTTCCAGCTGTACTTATTGGTTTCTTTGTTGCAGACAGATGTTCACTCATTACTCCAACATGTACCCTCAGCTGATTAAGAATGACAGTGTTCTGAATCCCCTGAAGAAGTTTTTGAGGTACTGTCCTATTATCTGTTTAAATGCAAAATGCAAAAATGAGATGCAAAGCAAAAATCAGGCAGCAGAAAATTGCCTCTTGGCCTTCTTCAAATGATCCACAGCACGCAAGACCGGTGGGCCAGGGAGCAGGTGAAACTCAGGAGAAACCGTGACCCCCTGTGGAAGCATCTGGGACTGATCCTGGCCCAGCTGGACGGACTCCGTGCTGGAGCAGCACAGTGGGCCAAGAGCAGACACAGAGAGGTGTGTGAACGTGTGCAGGAGAAAGAGTTGACACAGTATCATATCTCTCATCTCTGCTGCTTTCCTTCCCACCCAGCCTCTGTCAGCGTTTGCAGTCCAGTTTCTGAATGGCGTTGGTGACCTCCTGGACCTGGTCCCAGCTCTGACACCTCGTGCCAACTCCTCCAAGGGGGGCGGCACTTTCAGGATGCCAGGAATGGGCCACTGCACTGCTCTCATAAAGGTAAGGCCAAGCTCGTTTGGCTCAAACTGTGAGGGAGCACTTGGGAAAGCTCAACAGAGGCCTAATTGCCTTCATTGCGAGTCTTTATGTATGAGGTTCCCTCTTCTTAAAAGTCTGTCAATAAGTGCAGAGGGCCAGCACCTACACCCATTCAGGGGGAAGCTTGGCTGCTTTATTACATTTGGATAACATTTTATTTCTTCATATTTCCTTTAACTACAGACGCCTGATTGCTGTTTCTGATTGTCAATATACTTACAAAGAATTTAATGACAATATATTCTACAATATGAAGTTGTAGACCAAAGATTCCTGGAATTAGAATTAGATAGATGGATAGATAGATAGATAGAATTCTTACCCTCTCTGTTTCCTCTGGGTGTCAGGTGCTGCCAGGCTTTGAGAACCTGCTGTTCGGCCACTCTAGCTGGTACACTTATGCTGCCACCATGCGCATCTACAAACACTGGGACTTCAAGGTGTCTGACACACACACTGCCACGGGAAGGATGTCATTCAGCAGCTATCCTGGTACACACACACACACACACACACACACACACACACACACACACACTTATGAGCTGTGTGAGAATGTACACTTTCTCCTGAGAGAAAGTTGACATGTTGTTCTCTCAGTAAATGAGTTCGACAAGCTCTAAGATGAGGCGAACTGCTCGTCCTTAATCCACACAGTGTCATTTTCTTCTCGGGAAACAAAAACACTGATGTCAAGGACTTGACCCAAATCCTCAATGAACAGTCGCCCAGTTGCATAATTCCTCTGCTGAGCACACAGCTTATAGTCTATGGCAAAGAAACGTATATCACAGAGTGTGATCACCCAAACAGAGCCGTGATGAAATTAATTCCCTCACTGTCGACAGAGGAGGCTGAGTAATTTTGTGGGCAAAGATTTATCAAGTGGCCCAAGCCATAAAAATCCTCTTAAAGGCTCCATTGCTATCAGAACACAAGTGGTTTTAAAGTGCTATTTTTAGATGCCGAGAGGCCAAGGATAACACTTCTTCATATTAAAAAAAAAGAGATGAATCAAACCGCTGCCAGTGGAGGTGGAGATTGACCCCTGCATCCTTCTTAAGCGGCTTTCTCTCTTAAACTGATAAACATTGAGCATACACAGCAAACAATGGCCTTAATGCAGAAGGGAAGACAATATTCTTCCCATTATAATTCGTTTTGTTAATTCCATTTTAATACAGCAGTTAAGAGGAACAAAATTTGTGATATTTCCAGAGAGATGTGGTGGAGTGGGAGTGTGAAGTCTAATTAAATGGAGATTAGTTGCGGAACTGTAGCGGTTATGCAAACTGTGGGTTGAACCTGAGGATAAAAAAATGACTTCATCATCATCTCTGTTTACTTTCCCCTCCTTTTTCAATCTTTGTCTCAAAATACTGTTCTCTTCTCACCTCCTCTGCCCACGGCTTCAAAATGACCGCCACTTCTTCCCACTCCTCCTCTTACACCTCCTCCTCCTCCTCCCCCAGGCTTCCTGATGTCCCTGGACGACTTCTACCTGCTCGGGAGCGGCCTGCTGATGACTCAGACATCCATCGGCGTGTTCAACGCTTCCCTGTTCTCCGGGCTCAGCCCTCGCAGCCTGCTGGCCTGGCAGAGGGTGCGCCTGGCCAACAGCCTGGCACACAGTGGACAGGAGTGGGCGCAGGTTTTCTCCAAACACAACTCAGGTGAAATCCTGTTGGATTCTAGAG